AGTTGGCAGTGACGCTTTTATAGAGTATTGTCACCGTAAACTTTATGCACCTTTTTACAAGCTTGACATGTGTTCTTCCCTTTATAGAAGTAAAACAGTAAAATATGGCAAAAATGCACAGTTCGGTCTTCCATCTTCAATTTGTTGTAAAATCTCCAAAACTCAACCAAATCCCTCAATTTTTTTTTAGAATGAAGCTAGAACTGTCAACTGTCAAATGATATAGCAATAACATAGATATGAATGAATCTAGTACTTCCAAAAATGAACTAGTGCCATTTGTTGCAAATATGCATCATGACTTTTCTGAAGACCCAATATGAGACTAAATTGAGTTTCTAAATTCAAAGAAAAAAAAATCCAAATTTTAAATGTTTCATCTTCAATGCATGATCATGTGAACAACAAAAATTCTCAACAAAAAATTTTCTCCACTGGCAAAGGGACAAGGTCACATCCTATTTCATACCTATTTTTTCTTTCGTATCAGAAATATACATTTTTTTAAAAAGCTAAACCCAACAATAAATTATTCTAGAGAAATAATTACTATAATGGAATTGGTTTTTATTAACAAAACAAGAATTATACTCCAGCAACTCTAATTTCAACCAAAAGGGGAACTGAAACTGTTTCACAGAAACTTTAGAAGAACAACTGGCTCACTGTTTGCAACAGCCTCGAACTCAATTAAATGCTAACATTCTTTAAACTAATTTCATGAAAGAGACATAAATCAAGAGATACAAAATTACTAAATAATTTATGTTAAAAAATGTGGCCCAGAGTAAAGTGAAACAAGGGGGGAAACCCAGTGGAATATTCTATATTTTACTGACAGAGTTGAAAGTTTTTTCCTCCTGCTAAATAGATAAATACGATTTTTGAATGCCCTGAATTTTGATCCTACTCTTCTTGTACTGAGAATATGAGCAAAGTAAAAACATTTTCAGTGCGTCAAATGCTGTCAACACTAGCTCTGAAATCTATCCCAAGTCCATCTACTTCTTGTTATCTCAACTGTTACAGTTCTAGTCCAAGCCACTAAACCATCTCTACTCTAGACTACAATGAGAACCTACATAAATGGTCTTCTTGCTTTCACACTTACCCCTGTACCATCCATTCTCCACAGAGTAGCCTAAGCAATCTTTTTATAACATAAATCAAATCTTGTTTAAAAATCTTTCAATGGGTTTCAACTCATCTTATAAAAGAGTCAAATGATAGACTGTATGCTATTGGATCCCTGCCAAGCTTGCCTTGCTGATTTTTTTCAGGATGGCCTCATACTGTCCTTCAAATTAAGAGTTTCTCAACCTTGGCACTATTGACGAACTGGGCAAAACAGTTTTTTTTTTTGTTTGTTTTGAGGGACTGTCTATAAAGTCTGTGCACTGTAGGATATTTAGCAGCATCACTGGCCTCTGCTCATCGGATGCACTGCAATCCCACGACCAACCCCAGTTGTCACATGGAAATGTGTCTCCAGACATTGCTTTGAAAGAAGCCAAGTTCATGCCTGCTTCATGGTCTTTTCTCTCTCATTCTCTCTATCTGAAATGCTTACCCCAATACTTGAGATGTACAACTGGTTCTTTATCATTATTATCTCAGCTTAGTTGTCTGGGTCTACTCAGAGAGACCTTCTTTAATCATCCTATATAAAGTTACACCTACTTCCATCATATCTATAGACCAGCACTTAACACAGTGCTAAGTGCTCAAAAAGTAGTTATTGAAAGAATCCATAAATGTCAGTATTTATTAGAAAGCTTACCGTATTTCCCCATGTATAAGATGCACCCTTTTTCAAAAAATTTGGGATCTAAAAACTGGGTGCGTCTTATACAGTGGTTGTAGATTTTTTTCACTTGCATTTCCCGCTTTTTTGCGCTTGTTGTCTTTGCGCTCATTGCTTCACACTTGTTACCGGTATATTACAGTAGTTACGTTTTGCCACGTTCTGCCCAGAAATGGCTCAGAAAAGATTTTCGTACAGTGCTGAATTCAAGTTAAAAGTGATCCAGTTTGCAAAAGTGAATGGAAATTGTGCTGCTGAACATAAGTTTGGTCCTCCTCCAACTGAGAAAACAATCCAAGACTGGTTACGGGAAAAAGAAACCCTACTGAAAACGCCATGGCAGAAGAAGGCCATGAGAGGCAAGTCAGCAAAATGGCCAGATTTAGAGAGGGAATTGAAGATATGGATTGAAGAGCAAAGGGCAATTGGAATTCCTGTCTCCACAAAGATGGTTCAGCATGAGGCAAGAAGAATTGCGAAAAAGAAGTTAATAAAACTTGAGTTCAATAATTTTATGTAATTTTCTTTTCAAATTTCGGGCCCCAAAATTAAGGTGCGTCTTATACATGGGAGCGTCTTATACATGGGGAAATACGGTAAGTGGCAAGATCATATATTTAACATATAAGGCCAAAGCATATATGGATACTCTCCTATACTGTATTTGCCTGCATCTTTCAAATGCATATGTTCTAATGCACCATTAATTCTTTTGCACCATAATCCTTTGGAAATGCTGGTAGCATTATTGTCCATTATAGGCAATGTATGAGGTATGATAAAAAAATATAGTGAATGCTTATATAAAAAAGTTTATTACAGTAAAAGACACATTGCATTAATCCCCCTCAAAATACTCCCCCTTTCTTCGAACACATTTATCCCTTCGTTCTTGCCACTTTCTGAAGCAGCTCTGGAAGTCCTTTTTCGTAAGTGTCTTTAGTTGTGTTGTCATGGCTGCCTGAATCAATTCAAAACATTTACCTTTCACGGTCATTTTGACTTTGGGGAAGAGCCAGAAGTTGCATCTGGTGAAGAAGTTGTACGAGGACACACCGTAATGTTTTTATTTGACAGAAATTGCCATACCAGAAGCAATGTGTGACATGGAGCCTTTCCGTTGTGATCAAAATATATGGTGAACGCTGTTGTTGAGTGCCATCCAAAGAAAGGCAGGGATCTTCAATATGGGAAGCAGCATGTCACACCTTAGTAACAGTGTGTGACAAGTTTCAACTTGTTTGGTCAAGTCAACTGGGTGTGAGCTACGGCTGAGAGGAGGTGTGTTTTAACTCTTTTGCTGTGTTAATTGATTTCAAGTTCTTTTTTTTCCAAAATGTGTCAGAAATCCACAAAAAAACAAAAAGCTGATATTTTGACTATTTTATGCATTTAATAATAACAATTTGAGCTGCTCTGTATATAAATGACATTATTTTTATGCATAAAAATTTATGGAAATATTCACTCAGATATATCTGACCGTCATGACAAAAGGGTTAAAGTGTGGCATAAACCATCCTCCACCATGACAATGCTGTGTGTCACACATCGTTTCTGGTATATGGCAATTTCTGTCAAATAAAAACATTACGGTGTGTCCTCATCCACCTTATTCACCGGATCTGGCACTGTGTGACTTCTGGCTCTTCCCCAAAGTAGAAATGATTCAGGACATCGAGGTTGCCATGACAGCGCAACTAAAGGCACTCACGAAAGAGGACTTCCAGAGCTGCTTCAGAAAGAGGCAAGAATGATAGAATTAAGTGTGTTTGTAGTTAGGGAGAGTATTTAGAGGGGGATTAATAGCAATGTGTCTTTGACTGTAATAATTGTTTTTTATTTACACATACACCTTATTGTTTGATCACACCTTGTATATTTGTTCATTGTGCCTTAACAAAAGTAGTCCAACACCAGAGCATCCTTCCACTGGGTGGGGGAATAGAGAGGCATTTGAACTGTTCAGAAAGTGCTGAAAGCACCAATCCTCCAACCTACAGCTAAAAATGCCATAGTAAAGGGAATCTGGTTTGTCCCATCATGTACCCAAATAGTTCACCATTACATGTAAACAGTCACTCTTTAATTTATCTTGTTTTAAGTGGGTACAAAAAGGTCAATAATTTTGATTTAAAAAGAAAAATGACAGAAAAACATGACTTTAGTTATTTCAAAAGCAAAAGACTATAATGAATGAAACGTGAGAGTTAAATCTTTTATTTTTTTTTTAAAGATTTTATTTGGGAATTGAGGGAGGGGAACAGTGTTGGGAAATTGGGGAAGGGAAACAGTTGTTGTCTTTCAGTCTTCGTTGTTGAGGGCACAGCTAGCTCAGCTCCAAGTACAGTTGCCATCCGGCCGCCCAACAGTGGCTCACAGCCATTCAGCTCAAGGTGCTGCGGTCAATCTTAGTTGCGGGTGGGTTACGTCCACCATCCCATGCAGGAGTTGAACCGGAAATCTTGTTGCTAAGAGCACACGCTCTAACCACTGAGCCATCCAGCCATCCATTGGCAGCTCAGCTCAAGGTGCCTTGTTCAATCTTAGTAGCAGGTGGGCATAGCCCACCATCCCTTGCAGGAGTCAAACCGGCAACCTTGTTGTTAGGAGCAAGTGCTCTCACCAGCTGAGCCAGCCTGCCACCTGTTGGCAGCTCAGTGGCAGTCAGCTCGGGTGCAGCTCACTGGCCCATGTGGGAATCGAACCAGCAACGCTGTTGCTCAGACCTTGCGCTCTTAACCAACTGAGCCACTCGGCCGGCTCCAAGTTAAATCTTAATAGGTCAATCACTTTTAGTGTTTTCATGTGAACTGGTAAAAATCCATGAAGGTTAACTATATGCTGAATAATTCTTGAAAAATCATCGAGTCTCTAATCAGTATAGTCCAACTGAGTTTCATTCAAACCCAAAAAAGATTGATTCACTTATGTCACAAGGGTCCTTTTAGTTACTTCTGGAGTTGTGTTTGATATAAGTACTTCGAATATACATACATTTCTTCAAAACATTAATGCAGGTTTTTTTAAATGATGCCATTGCTCTGGATTGCTAAAATATATTTCTAGATATGTAATCAAAATCATTGATTTTAAAACCTATCATTCATCAGAGCATCTACATAAGACCTTTTGGAATGGACAAATGAGATCTCTCAGCCAAGTGTGTAAGCAGGAAAAGAAAGCCAAAACGTACCAGTTGTGCACCATGAGCTTCTGAACAGCCAGAAGAGCGTTGTAGCGAACCTGCTGGTCTTCATGGTGCATGTGGTTCATCACCAGTTGCTTCCCACCAAGCTGTTCAATAACCCTGCAAAACAGAAGCCACTTTGTGAAGATACTGCAATTATTTTCAAACTCATACTGTTAGTAAGCAGAAAGCCCAAAACCCAAAATGCCAAGGGATTTTAAAAAGGAAAGTTACAATATAGGTAAGTAAACCAACATGCGTCTTTTTTTTATATCACTTTCTCCAAATCACAGATTTAAACTATTCAAGTATTTTCTTTTGAATTCCTAATGATAAATTCAATTGCTATTCTCATTTCCCAATCTAGGCAAATATCATCTACATGGGTATCTTACAGACTGATGTAGTATTATAGATTATAGTTTTCCAGGTAGTTGAATATTAACTTTATTACCAGTATTTCTGGCTTGCTTAAAATCAGTATACTGAATACCCAGTATCCATAATAATATCAGGTCAATATTACCATATTTTGCCCTGTGTAATGCACTCCCATGTATAATGTGCACCCATGTTTTTGGCCCAAACTTTCAGGGAAAAAAAATCTTTTGTTTTAATTTTTAATTCAAATTTTTATTTGTTTACATTTAGGTACTCGTTTTTTTTTTATTACAAAGGAATTTTGGCATTTATTTTTTAACATATATGGTACAAGAAATTTTATGTAACAAATAATTATAAAACACAAGAACAGATACAAGGTACCAGTCACATTTTATGTACCAGTCACAAATTTACGATATTTACTCATCATAGAAGGCCAAGAACTCTTCATCATTGCAAGTTCATCGTAAGTTTAACAAAACCGATTATCATATTCCAGGGTATTACTTTGCATACAGATATCATTATTGATTTCTAGAGTTATGCTTTTAACTCATAAGCATAAGTAAAAGAATTAAAAACATTTATATAGATACGGAATTAGTACTACCTATGTATAACGCGCATCCTTATTTTTCCCTCATAAATTTGGGCAAAAAGTGCTCATTATACACAGCAAAATACAGTAAGTCCATCAGTTGCCAAGCTGTGAGACAGACATGTGCTCAGATGCAATAGCAGGGAACACAGGGTTAAAAGCACCTAGTAGAAGCCATATTAATTTCCTGAAAAAGACTATTGGTTTTTAAAATATCTGCCCTTCCTTGTAACAGTGGAATATGCCACATGTCCTCCTGGGCAGTGAAACAGAGGAGAAAATTCCTATTGTCAAGGGCACCAAGATGACTGACAACTAACATTGCTTTGTATCACTGCACCCCCTAACGCCCTGAAAAATCCAGTTACTACAGATGCAAAAGTGGAGTGAAAATGGTTATTTGCTTCATGAATGGAAAGATGTTCTCTATTCCTTTGCAAGGGGGTGGCTGTGGATAGAGCTGGGAAGTCTCTGAACTCCAGCACAACAGTGTGGATTCTCCAGTCTGTACTGTCTAGTGGGAGATATAACTACTACATAGTCAGTGACAAGTGACCCCTTAATGCAAGAGGGCTTTTAGTGGTTTAAGACAACCTTGCAGATGGGTAGATGGGGGTCAAGGGTGAGAGAGAGGCTTTTATCTATTTACCTTTTTATACTTTAACTTTTAAAGCATCTTTTAAAAAAAATGTATTGCATTGAGAAAAAAAGTGCAGAATTATAACCGAACATTAATTTGGTGCTTGCTATGTGCCAGGTACTGTGCTTTAAAACATTATCTAATATATCAGCTCTGCTCTTTTTTTTTTTTTTAAGATTTTTATTGGGGAATTGGGGGGATGGGAACAGTGTTGGGGAATTGGGGGAAGGGGAACAGACAAGTTGCTGTCGTTTTGTTCTTCAATCTAGTTGTGGAGGTTGTTGCTTCACTGGCCCAGGTTGGCACCATCATTGCACTCTTCTCTGGTGAGGCAGATCACTCGCCGGCTTCTGGACGGCCGCTCACTGTGGCTGCTGGCCGCTCACGCTGGCTGCTGGCTACACACAGTAGCCCATGGCAACCCACTGCCACAGGGAGTGCAGCCTACGCCGTCGCCGGCGACTCATGGCAGCCCAGCTCCAGGTTGAGCTGTTGTTCAGCATCTTAGCTGTGGAGGGCAGTGTCACTGGCCCTCATATGTGGGATCCGAACCGGGGCCTTCTGGCATCCCAAGCCAGTTCTTAACCATCGCGCCACTCGGCCGGCCCTATCCGCTCTGCTCTTGATCAAATATGTTACAATAGGTAAGTCATTCAATCCAGTAAATTCCTTCCTGCCAAATGAGAATAACAAGGACACCTCACTTATGGTGCTGCTGTGAAGACTAAAGGACATAAAGCCCATGTCCCTGCATCATGATAAGCCCATGTCTACTGCTACCTGCTGCTGCTGCTGATACAGGGGTTGCTACCCCTCAATCTATTCTCCTCACTGTGCTCAAAATTACTTTTCCCAAAACTGAAATATCACTTGCCCTGCTTAAAACAATGGCTGACAAGGCCCTTCACAGTCTGACTGGGAGCCCCTCCCCTGCTTCACAGAGCACGGTCATACAGCCCATGACTCCACTGGCCTCCTTTCAGGTCCTCTGGCTACAGGGTCTTGGCACACGCTGTTTCCTCTCCAGAAGCTTTCCCACTCGTCTTCCTGTAGATAACTTCGATTCATCATTCAGATCTTGACTCATGTCACTCCCTCAGGAAAGCCTTCTTTCTACTCATATTATACTCATCCCAATTGGCCCTTTCCATAGCACTATGTATCTCTCATTCATTGTATTCATCTGAATTGAAATTTTATACCTGAATGATTATTTTAAAAGTATTAAACTTGTTTTCCCAGTTAAACAGAGATCCATGAGGGCCAAAACTATGCATGGTTTTGCTTATCCTGTGTTCCCAGGGCTCACAGCAGAAGGCACTCATCAAATACCTATTAATTTTATTATTACATTAATATGTACTATATTAATAACAATTATATTCTCTTGTCCAGTTTGCTTGTCAAAATATCATCATTAAAGGAAACGCAGCCTTCAAAAAAGATAGACCTTTACTGCAACAAAACTGACTGAGGGTAACCTTCCCTCAATTGCTGTAGCATACTATTATTAGAATTCCAAACAATAATAATAACATTTATGTAGCACTTATTATCTGCCAGGTATTTGTCTTAGCACTTTCCGTTATTAATTCTTTTAAGAATTGTGAGTAGCATAGGATGGCCATGGTAAGAAATAATAAAACAGAGATTTAAAAGAAAAGTATACAAATAAAGAGTAACATTCAGGAAAAAGAAAGTCACAAGGTCCAACATGCCTTATTTTCATACGTGCTTAGAATTATAATTATCTATTGCCACACTAGGAAATATTGATCTGCTCAAGCTGACGAATTATCTACCCTAAGCGTCAGTTTACCCAACATCTTTGTAATCATGTTAATTTTTTAGAACTGTTGAAACTGATATGTACACATGTAATATGTACACATGTAAATAACAAGCTAATGATACGGAACACCTTTTGCCTCAGTCTCAACTGAGATGGCCAATGAACAGATCAGACATTAAAGTCAATCTGTGAGAAAATATCACATGCTGAGTTCACAAAGAACGCTAACAATTCCTAATCCCCTCAGGATTTCTATTGCAAATGTTAAAGAATCCAAGTAGGGGAAGGGTGATTTGGGAGTGGTCTACAGAGGGCACCAGTCTATGCTGTAGGGCTCAGCCCCACAGAGAAGAAAAAGGTGGTGATGGCTTCCTACCACACGCCAAGGAAACCACTTGCATAGGCGGGAGTGTATTCCCTGCAGTTGGAAGGACCCTGAACTGTGCCTGATAGAGGCACAGCCTGAGAGATCACAGCATTCAGAGGACAAAGCAGTGGAACAGTTTTATCCACATACACCGTGTACATGTGAAAAGGCTAGTGATAAGTTGTGTTTATTTCTTGGAAATCATATTATAATCTTAAAGGTTATGGGTCCTTTACAAGAACTGAATTGGCCAGTACAGTTGATAGAATAAATTCAATTGGATAGTTTGTTTTCATGTTATTTGCATTTATTGAGGACAATTATTAAAATTACAATGGGCGGGGAGGAACGCAATTACTGTTGTGTTATGCTCTCTACCCGAATTTACAAAAACAGGTTATTGAATCAAAAGTGTTTCTTTGAAAGGCCGGCTGAGTGGCTCAGTTGGTTAAGAGCTCGCTCAAGAGTTTGAGCTCTGAGCAACAGCGGTTTGATTCCTGGCCTGAGCTGAACAGCCACTGAGCTGCCAACAGGTGGCAGGATGGCTCAGCTTAAAAAACATAAAAATAAAAAGAATGTTTCTTTGAATTATAAAAGGAGTCATAAAAATAACAAATATGTAAAACAATAGTGAATAGGACTCTATTTTGAATATTGTATGTAAATCTGCATGCTGAGACAAATCTGAGTGTGATAAATAGGAAATATGATATTTAGTATCTATAATTTTATCACTGGACCAGTAATATGCTCACCTGTAGTCTCAAATTTTTGATACGAAATTTTGTCAACTGATAAATTTTACTGCTTGAGATGGAAAAAGGGACAAAACTCAAAAAGAGACAAAATTCTGAAAATGATCATTATTGTCTTTATGATGCATGAGAAAACACTTTTACTGATAACACCAGTAAGGATTCTTTCCATTATTTTAAGCAACTTAACAATAAAGTCATTATCTTGAATAGGTTAAAAATATCCATAAAAATATGTCCTGTTCCAATTATCAATATCAAATTTGAGATACCAAAATAATTTTTAGGATGACTGAATTGTAGTGAAAATTAATACATCACTGCAAAGTTTAATTTTTTCCAAATCTTAATGCTTTTACTTTATTCATAGAGGAAAAAAATAATGAACACTATAGTTAAAAACCATACCCACAAGCTACAACTGAATTTAAAGAAATACTGTAACATGACTGAATGCAACCACAGAGTAAGTTGGGAATCTTTTTGCCTGTACCTCACAAGTGGCAACATTCAGTTTTCTTGCTTTTAGCATGGAATGGCTAGTCAACTTAGTGTCTGATGAAATGAAGTAGACTTTAGTGAGA